ATAGGGTGAATACATCTCATTACAATGATTTACTGGTAGTCTCGAAACCCTACTTTCTTACGAATACTTTGTTATAGTCTGTTGCAAACAACTTTACAGTTTAGCAACTGGAATATGCAACAAATGCTTTATTCTTGTCAGTGCCTTATATGTTTTCATGGTTTTTCCATGCATATTTTAATTTTTTGATCTTTCATTTTACGTTGCATCAAGAAATCTGTATTGACTAGCCTCGCCACTTTTGACTTAAAACCATTTATCACAATCCTTACATTTTTAAAGCATTTCATTTTGGGTCGTTTGCAAACCAAGCCAGTATAGTTATAGATGCATCGTCATACTCGCTATTTTTGACCATATTTTTCTTGCTATATGGTCTCATTCACTCTTTGATTAGATCTTAGCAGGAGTCTCTTTGTAACTATCGCCCTCAATTTCATTTGAGCTCATCATAGTTTAACGTTCTCATAAATATCACCCAATTAGTACTTACCTACGGACCTTGTCTTATCATATGCATACTCAGTTCGTTGCTCAACTAGCATCGGAGATTTTACTTTCATTTCGCTCGTGGCTTTTCCACTCTACATAACTTTGAGTATTCTCTTTTTCAACCTCTGAGTGTTACTCACCGGTTATCTAATCAGACATTATTCGCGGATTGTATGAGGCAAGGATTTCTAAATATATCCATTCTCCATCTCATAGTAAAGTGCGGAAGTAGTTTCGCTCTTTTCTTCCAAGCTTTACAATCTGCAAATCTTCGCCTAAACTGTACCTGCCTATTTATATATAATACAAAAGTGTTTTTCGTTGTAACGTAGCCATTACTTCTGATTGCGTTGAGGAACATTCAGGCGGACGTGACCTTGAGATATGCTACCCCATGGCTCTAGCCAGTTTCAATTTTAGCTTAATTTTATGTACTTTATGTTGTCTTTTTTTTATCAGACTACTTTTTTTCATCCTGTTTTAACCCATGTACGCTCAAAACATCTTTTTGAATGATATTTTTTGAATCTTCAGAGTCTTCAGTGCCATATAAAAAAATCTGCCTCATTTAACGTCATTCGGGATAAATGGACCATCTACCGCATATTCATTGCCTATAGTCGATTTGCACCCTTACCTCTTGTTGATACAACTGATGCTTGTACTAAGCTCGGAAATAGCTCTCGCAAAACCTTCACTTTAAAAGAATTATCTTCTCCGGGCAAATCCAAGCATTGTCTAAAAAAGACTTATGGTAACTCCGAAGTGATGAGCTTTTTAGAAAAGAAAAGGAAGCCCAGCCGACCCAATTTGCCCCCAATAAGAATTACTTTGATCGGAACAAAAGGCGTCTCTTCTGGTTTAGATTTAGCTAGTGCCTTTCCTGTTGTTCTTTCATATCGTGCCAGCTCACCAGAAAAATTGGCCAGAAAGTTAAATTCACTTTCAGGATCTCAAACGAAGAAATTCATTTCATGGCCAAATCAGATAGAGATTTCTCAGATAGATAAACTTGCCATGGTCTGTCCTTTTATTGGAGAAGTTACTGGAATTCAAATAAGCCCTTTGAAGAAGGTGCCAGCTGAAGGTAAGTTACTCTTGCGAACTTATTTACATTCTAAACTTAGATTGCTTTTGGTTTTACCAATCAACTTGTTTCTTGCTTTCCATTCGTTTCTATTTTC